TCTCTTGAGTTTTAGAAAATACTTTCCTGACAGGGCACGGTGGCTCTCATCCCTGTAATCCTAGCACTCTGGGAGGCCGAGGTGGGAGGATCACATGAGGTCAGGAGTTCAAGACCAGCTTCAGCAAAAGTGAGACCATGTCTCTACTAAAAACAGAAAAAATTAGCCCAGCATCATGTTGCGTGCCTGTACTCCCAGCTACTCAGGAGGCTGAGGCAGGAGGATTGCTTGAACCTAGGATTTTGAGGTTACAGTGAGCTAGGCTGAAGTCACAGCACTCTTGCCCAGGCAACAGAGTAAGACTCTGTCAAAAAAAGAAAAAGAAAATATTTTCCTACGGTTATCTTGCTTTTTTGTGCTATTATTGAGCTATCGAACACCAACCTGATTTTTTTCTCTTTCCCTTTTTTCTTCTTCCTTTTTTTTATCTTTTCTTAAAATCTAATGGTTTTACTAGAAATGTGTTTTGGAGTTAAGTATTCTAGGTCAATTTTCTCAGGTATATTTGTGACTTTTCTATATAGTTTCAGTTCTTCTTTTTTCCATAAAGTTTTCTTGAATTAGAAATTTAAATATTTATAATGCTCCATTGTTTTGTTTTCCTTTTAGGGAACTTCAAAGATTCATACTTTAGAAATGCTGAATTTTCTCTGCCGATCTTATATATTTATAGCTTTTTCCTTTTTTGCTCCTTTTTATGCATTTATTTTGTTTTAATCCTCTTGATTTTTCTCATTCTTCTACTAAAATCTCCACTCAAATCTATTATCCCTAGGGCCTTTGTAAAGTTTTCATTTCTGAGATGACCTTGTTTTTTCTTCAATTTATTTTCTGAGTTTTGGTAACTCTTATTTCACATCTTTCTCTTTTTTTGTCTTTTTCTCTTTTGAGTTTTAAATTTTTGATTCAAAGGGTTTTTATACCTGCAAATGCTTAATAGGCAATGATACTTAATTCATGTGGTAGATCAAGAACCAGGGGAGGAAATTCAGAGATACTCAGGACAGGAGTATCTCAAGGTTGATTGAAGTTTCCTGGGCCTAGGACAGTTGGTAAAGATTTTGCCAAGACTCAACATTGAATTCAAAATGGAGAGCTTCTAGCTTTCAATAGGCTTTTGCCCTTTTATATCTTGAGCTCCTGAGCTCAAGCAATCCTCTCGCCTCGGCCTCCCAGAGTGCTAGGATTACAGGTGTGAGCCTCGGCCTCCCAGAGTGCTAGGATTACAGGTGTGAGCCACCGTGCCTGGCTCTTATCCATTCTTTAAAGCAATTCAACTTAAAAGTCCTGCTAGACCATACTTAGCCCAGCTCCAAGAAATGTGAGTACCAGAAAGTAAAAACAAACAAATAAACAAAAACCCCAAATAAACAAAGGTCCAACTTTTCTTTGACCATCCCAGCTTTCTCCCAAATGTTGTTCAGAGTTCTTGGACTCAAGCAACAGAAATGGCATCTTGCTGGCTTAAACCAAAGAGAATTTATTGGAAGCCTTCTTGGGACATTCTGAGTCTGAAGGATCCAGCAAGAACCACGTAATTTTGTGCCGGGCAGCATAGGGCTGCAGCAGGGACTTCAGGAATAAGCCAGTCAGTGCCACCTTCTTGGGCTGTTCCTTGGAGTCCAGTTGACCTCGTCCTGGCCTCTCCTGTGCTGTGGTGGATCCAAAGTGGAGATTCTGTTCCCTTCGGCTTCCACAACAACAGCAAGGTGCTATATCAAACAGGGATCCGACACTGGGTAGCCAAACACAAACAACCCAACAGATGCCTCTTTGCTTGTGAGATTTGGGTAAAGGAATTTTAACTCATTTTGTGGAACAGCCATTTATTTATTAAACTGCTTTATTGAGATATAATTCACATATCATAAAGTTCACTCGTTTCAAGCATGTATGTTATCGAGTTCTGGCACATTCTCAGAATTGTGCAACCACCACCACATTCTAATTTTAGGATAAACCATTTGTTTTCAAAACCGAAGATAAAGAATTCCATGTTATGCAACCTTGGCTAGATTTAGAAACACATCTGCTCTCCAGGGTGGTATGTCTCAGACCACAATTTACTTTCGCCTAATGCTGTTAATTCTTGAAGGCCCAAGAAGGGCAGGAGCTCAGCGTCTGTCCAGCGAGTGTGGGTTCTTAGAGACAGCTCTGCCTTCTGTGTGGCAAGGTGGCTGGCTGGTCACTTCATGCCCTCTGGTCCCACATGATCACATTGTGAAAGAAAGGAGAGGGCTGGAGACTGCCTGGAGCTTTTTGCCCCCATCATCCGCAGACAGAAGTCCTGGTCTCCTCTTTGTACCCTCAGTCTTGGCTTTGCTTTTACTCTTGGATTTACAGAAACATTTTAAGTGCTACCCAGACTGTCCTCTAGAGGGCAGACAACTGCCCAGTAGGGCTGGTGTGGCGCCTGCCTCCCAAAGCCACCAGGATGTTCCGGCAGCAGAAACTCCTTTCTAGGATTTTCCATCTCTGGGCCCCTTCCTGGTTTGCCGCAGCACATCCCAGTGCTAAAAGCCTTCTTGGGAGGGGTGGCGGTTGTAGTCGTGGCTACATTTTTTCTGGAAAGACATCTCTGAACCCACTCCCACATCCACTCAGGTTTATAATGTCCTGAAAGGACCACAGAGAGTGTTACCTTTTTTATTTCCCTCACCCTTCATAGTCTGCTTTGTACTGTGATAAAATACACCTAACATAAAATTTACTATTTTGACTATTTTTGACCGTACAGTTCTGCGGCACTGAGTACATTCATATTGTTGTGCAACCATCACCAGCACCAGCCGTCTCTAGAATTTTTCATCTTCCCAAACCGAAACTCTGTGCACATTAAACAATAACTCCCTATTTCCCTTTTCCCCAGTCCCTGGCAGCCACCATTCTACTTTCTGTTTCTATGAATGTGACTACTCTAGGGACCTCATTTAAGTGGAATCATATAGTATTTTTCCTTTCGTGGCTGGCTTATTTCACTTAGCGTAATGTCCTCAAGGTTCAACCATGTTGTAGCAGGTGTCAGGATTTCCTTCTTTTTAAAGCCTAATAATATTCCACTGTACGGCTATGCTACATTTTCTTTATCTGTTCATCTGTCGATGGGCACCTGGGTTGCTTCCTCCCTTGGCTACTGTGAATACTGTCGTTATGAGCATAGGTGTGCAAATAGCACGTCAAGCCCCTGCTTTCAGTTCTCTTGGTTCTTCACGGTCTTTTGTGCCCAATGGAAGAATAAAATGAATCTGCTCTAGAGTAGGGCTTTCTGACAGCTTCATGTTATGGCTCTCCAAAGAAATGTTTGTTTGGCTCCCTGGGGCTTGGAGCTCAACTGGGTGGTGGAGGCCACTGGTCCAGGGTCCTGCTGCCCTGGCGGGCCCCCCTCTTAGCACACACCTGGACACATTGGGTAGGGAGCTCTCTGCTCAGGACAGCTAGATTTGCCATCTTTAGGGCCCATGTAGCAAATGGTGCATGGAGTGTAAACGCTCTAGGTGTGGGTGGTGCCACGAGGTGTACTAAAGAGGCGCTCATTTCCTCTCCGCTCACACCCCAGCATACAGTTCCCAGCCCTCTGCGGCTCTGGAATGAGATCCACTGGATCTCAGAGTGCCTGAAACAGCTGCATGACGTCACCAAAGTGGGTATATCAAATTCTCCATAAAGCCAGAATTAGGTTAGGATGCCCAAGACAGCCAGGCGGTTGTGGGGACTGAGCTGGAAGACCTCGTGGATCTAGACACTGGGACTGCCACTGTGGGCAGCTCTAAGAGACCAGTGTAAGCTGGGCTGAGGAACCCATCTGCAAAGGAAAGGCAGAAGGAAGTCACCTGCAGGGCTGAGAAGAGGGCAGGTGCCTTGAGGGAGAAGCGAGAGGAACAGGGAGGCAGGAGGAGAGTGAAACAAGCTGCTTGGAGACACTATAATAAGAGTTTCTATCCCCTGGGGTAGTTGGGCTGGCTCACCTGCCTGGAATGTGCTGGGAGGCAAGTCCAGGTGAAAAAGAACAGAAGCTGCGAGGGCTGTATCAGGACCTGCGTAGTGGGAGAGTAACGAAGTGGCCACCAAGACAACACCAACACTTCTTTTTCAAATATTTTATTAATCTGTTTGGCCAAACAGGTAATGGAAACAGAATAATAATTTGCTAAAAAGTTCAGGTCATGAATGCCCCTTTTCCCCAAGAAACAAAAGACTCCATGGTTACAGAACGCACCATTGGGTTATGACAACATTTCAAAATAATGTTTCCATTTCATATGTAACAATGTAAACTTCAAAAATAGTAAACTCTAACCCCCGTCCCTCTTTACAGATCTATCACAGATAGAATTTTCTGGCAGACCTAAAGTGTGTAAGTAAACAGCCTGGTGCTTAAAAGTTTCATAAAAAGGTTTACAGATTCAGTAAATAATTGTTCAGTCTTGGTCAGGAAGTAAAAGCAACCAGCAATCTCCCTCCTACACGATCTACCTTATATGCATATTGTACACCGCAGACCACGTTCCACATACACTGGTCATCAGCTTTGCCATTTTTGTACACACACACACACATATAGTTTTATTTGTTTCTAAAGATTTTTACATCTAAATTATAAGACGGCGCCAGTGACTTATCACGTCACCTCGCTTCACATAGGTAAAGACGAAAATTCTGTAGAAGGCACTGTAATTTCTCTTGCATGATCTTACGCAGACACATGAGAGCAGGCCAGCCGGGGCTTGGACTTATCTGTCCCTTCCTGTTTGTTACCTGGCACAAGCCTGTCCTCTGATGGTTTTCGATGTCCATGATCCATTTCTGCCTCACCTCTTCGCATCCCAGCCATCCCTCCCTCCCTCCATCCAACTTAATTGACAGTTATCTTTTGGTTCATTGAAATTCCTTAAAATTAAGAATACAGCTCTGGTATAAAACAAAATATGACCTACCATAGCTGAAAAAATAATCACAGTGTACAATGTCATGTTCGGTTGCTAAGATTCAAAACATTTGCCCTGGCTTGTGAAGAACGTCAGTCTTCCAAAACAATCTATGCAAGGACCATTCGAACCCACTTTACATTCATTGATGAAGCGCTGAGCGGTTCTTCTCTCCCCTTTCGTATCACATTGGTACCCTTAAGTGGAAGGTCTGATGTGGAAAAGTGCAAGCAAATTGGACATGCCAATAAATACCATAGAACTTACCGCAGATGACCAAAACTGTACAGGTATGTACACCTTACCCAACCGAGGTTCCGCCCTTCAGGAATAGACCTCCCCATCATCACCACGAGGGCGTCACCACCGAGTTCCAGAGGAGTGGCATTAGCGGGCGAAGGAAGGGCGGCCTCTTCTGTTCTTGCTCTGAGGTCCTGAGCCCAGGTCCGCACCGCCCTCCACGGCCTCCTCCTTCTTCCTCACTTTGAGGCGGGTGAGCAGCTTGATCAACCAGACATCCCACTCCTCTGGGAGGAGCAGGAGCAGAAAGCCCAGGCCGATGATGATGATGGCGATGACCCGGACCCCGTTGAAGACTATCTGACTGGTGTAGTGATCAACCACTGTGGGAGACAGAGCACTGGGGTTACTCACTCAGCTGGGGCACAGGGCAGGATGCGTGTCCCCGGAGGGTGGGCGGGGCCTGGGGCATCCTCCTGGCAGGGTTGGGTCTTCCCTGAACCACAGAATCCTCCTCAGTATGATTTTTGTCCCAGGAGAGCTGTTGTTGTCAACTGTATTTTAGTTTTTAATATTGGCAAAACCTTCTGTTAATTTAACAGAGGGAGATGGTCAACCAGCCCGTCCCATGAACAGATAGATGTCAGGGAGAGTCCTAGAAGTTGAGCAACGGCTCTGCTCTGACACGTTAAACAAGCAGCAGTTTCCTCCACTTCTCTTATGTTGCAGTAGGTAACAAGAAATGATTTTGATTCATCTCTCAAACACCTGGCTATATCCTATGCTCAAATAGGTTTCTATGTAAGCCTTATCTGGAATATGCCTTCTTGAGAGAGAAACACAGTGTGACTATAGATTAAAGATGCAAAGAATGTAGGGGAGTATGTTGAGAAGTTATATCTCAGAAGCCCGCAGTGTCTGGACCTCTTTTTACCAGCTATCCAGGAGCTTGGGTGCTTTCTGCATCTTAAAATGCAGAAAGTCTCATGATTATTTCATTTGGTTCCCGTATCAACCAAATTAGCAAGGGCAGGCAGCCCTTCATTTGCAGGGGAGACAAGCTGGGCCCAGAGCTGATGAGTTGGCACCCCAGGCCTCCAGGTGGGCCGCGGTGGTGCCAGGCCTGAGCCTGGTCTCCTGGCGTCTGTCACACTGCTGCCAAGAGGCAGTCCTGCTGGAAGCGCCGGGGCTATGTGGGGCACAGACAGCACACCGGGATGGGAGCTGTCAGAAACCAACTTTCAGGAAAAGCCTCAGGAAATGAGAGTTGCTTTGCTTGTGTTTTCAGGTGTGTTTAGCGCCACACTGAACAGGAAAAAGGCAGCCACTCCCTGGGAGACAGAGCCAGGTGGTCTGGGCTTTGGAGGAGGCTGCGTTGGGGCAGGGGCGCGAATGCAATGGGGACAAGGCATTTGCAGCCCTCTTCCGGCTGAGAGGAGGATGCACAGGGAGGTTGGGGTGAGGCTGGGGGATTCTGGAAAGAAAACCCCAAATTCAAACCAGTGTGAATCAGGAAAAGGAAGGCGGTGAGGGGCAGGAGAAGACAAGCTTTCAGGAGAGCTGTCTGTCAACTGTGTGTAGTGGCAACATGTCCCCGGGGGAGCACGAAGTGAGGTCCTGAGCACCTGGGCAGAGGATGCCGTCTCTCGTTCTTCCCGGAGCGGAGGAAAACGATGTTCCCACTTCCGCAGCTGGTCAGCGTGTGTCCACATCATACCCTGACCACGTTTTCTCCCCCAGCAAGTTACTTGCAGAAATTAAAGTATTTTCTGCTACTTAGTTTTCTACATTTATTAATAATACTGATGACATTCATCTCTGCTCCCACACTAGTTAGAACTGGGATGGCTGTAGGCATTCTGTGTCTTGGTGTGGTACATGACTGTCAATCCATTATGGAGAAAATACTGCATACGCAACACACAGAAACACTTTACCTAAATGCTTGTTTTTTCTTTGCAGAAGGTTTAACACGCATTCTATACCAGGCACAGCAAGAATACACGTGAATGTATATGTTAAGAGTATGTGTATGTGAGTATGTGTGCAAGTGTGTGTGCACGTGTGAGTGTATGTGTGTACTTGTGTGTATGTGAGAGTGTGTGGATGTGGATGTGTGTGAGTGTGTGTGAATGTGAGAGTGTGTGACAGCGTGCATATGTGTGTGCAAGTGTGTGTATGTGTGAGCGTGTGAGCATGTGTGAGTGTGCATGCGAGTGTGCGTGTTTATGAGCAGATAGGGAAAGCCATATAGGTTTGTTTACCTGCGTTCACAGGTACACTGAGGACGATTCCAAGAGACATCAGAGTGGGATATGTAACAGCGATTCCAAAATTTAATACGATATTGAATGCTGAAATAGAGAACGTAAGAAATGGGCGTTACTCATGACTGCCTGGACTCTGCCTCCTTGCCGGCCTACCTGACCCCGGTTTCTCCAATGAGGCTGGAGTCACAGGAACTACAGTGACCCTCTGCTCTGATTCAGTGAACCTGGGGTTCCTCTGGGGGCTCCAGGACTTGGGATTAGGGACAGACACTCTGACTACTTCAGGCCCTCTGTTCCCTGAGCTTTGAAGAAGGGAAAAGAAATTTGGAAAAGGTAACCAGTGAGAAGGGGCTAGAAAATGGGGCTGGGGCCAGCCTATCAGCTTTGCTTTTCCCTGCTGCCACAGTGCTTTAGGAAAACCACGAGCAGGGGCTTTGGGATGCGTGTTTTTAGACAGAAACTGGGCGAAGCACCTCCTTGGTTGCTTTTCTGCCTAACACTAGACTTCCATCGAGTAATGGAGATGACGATGAGGATGATGATGCTAATAAAATAATAATGAAAACGGATAGCATTTATTGAACAGCGACACTTATCAGGTGACGTTCCGAGAGACCTGCATGCATGAATTTACCAACTCCTCGCCATGCTAATCCTAGTGGGTGACATGCGTACACTGCAATGGCCATTGCTGCCACCGCAGTGACTCTGGTTCTGGAATTAGAATCCAGTGTCCTCATTTCAAAGACTACTTAGTGAAACACGAAGATCTTGAAGAACAATGAGAAGTTAAGAATAACAATAAACCCATTTTCTCCTTCAGGGCACGGGTGTCCAGAGTCCCCTGTCAGTCACTGGTTTCTGGGGGAGCTGGGCAGGGCGATTGCCACTTACTCAATAAGAGAACTGAAAATCCACAAAGGTTTCCCCATGGAATGTCAGCGAAAGAGCTCCAGTATTCCACTTTGGTAAAGTAGAGGATGACAGGAATGCAGGTGATGAAGAGGATGTTAAACACACCCAAAATGGACAGAAATAAGGCGGCTTCTCCAAACTTAGCACTGCCCAGGAGGAGCTTGAACAGAACCTGCAGGAGAAAGCAGAGGAGGAGGAGTGAAGGCTCACCTTAGCTCCCAACCTGATGCCTGGACCTCTGTGATGGATCCATGATCCTGTACAACACAGTCTGAACACCATCACCCCCAAGAGAAAGGGCTTTGGCTGCAAAGACGTTTTCTATAAATCAAAGGTGGAGAGATGTTCTCATCTCTGCTCCATCCCATCACCTCCATTCCAGGGATGGCGTGGGTTTTAGTGGAAGGCACCAAACATTTATTTTCTTGCACATGCTCTTGTTTGTACCTCACTGCAGGTGCTTGGCGGGCCAAGGAGGAGAGGGGCAGTGGCCAGGAGCAGAGCTTAGAGATGCAGGAGTCCCCAGTCCACCTGTGTCCAGAGACCTGTGGTCTGGTTTGAGTCTCCGCGTTGCTGTTCCTCCCACTTCTCCTGCTTCCTCCTCACTCAGCCGTTTCCCAACTCGTTCAGGTATTTCCTGGCACATGTGCAGGAAGTATGGGAAGGGAAATAAATAGCTTTCAGCCTGCCACTAGTAGTCCCTCTGGACAAATCGCAGGCAGTCGAGGAGACGGATACGGAAATCTGCACAGAATATTGCGTTCAGCATGGACTGTGTTTCTATGTGTTCTCTGCCCCTCGTTAGCACACAGCTCGCTGAGTACAGTAGAGTGTTGCTTCTTAATGTCTTCTGCATTTGGACAGTGGCTTTGAAGTCCCAGAATGATGCTAGCTTATCACGTTCCCTCAGTGAGAGGCGTTCCAGAGGGAAAAAAATATGATGCGTGTGTCTTCCTCTGTGGGTGGCAAGGGCAGGGAACTGATGGCAGATTAGAAGCTAGAGTTATTTCTCTCCGAAAACCATAACACAAGGCACTCACAGAGCTGGGGAAAAGATGCTATTTCTTTTCTTTCTTTTTTTTTTTGAGACAGAGTCACTGTGTTGCCCTGGCTAGAGTGCCGTGGCATCATCCTAGCTCACAGCAACCTCAAACTCCTGGGCTCAAGCAATCCTTCTGCCTCAGCTTCCTGGGTAGCTGGGACTACAGGCATGCGCCACCACGCCCGGCTAATTTTTTCTATTTTCAGTTGTTTGGCTAATTTCTTTCTATTTATAGTAGAGATGGGGTCTCGCGCTTGCTCAGGCTGGTCTTGAACTCCTGAGCTCAAGCAATCCTCCCGCCTCGGCTCCCAGAGTGCCAGGATTACAGGCGTGAGCCACAAGATGCTATTTCTTATGACTTTCTACAGTACTTAATTCTCTCTGTCCTCCCGTCCAGATCCACCACAAAGGGCTGGTAAGTCTCAAAGCCAAAATCTCATTTCTCATTGAATCCTCCAGGTCATTTTCCCAACTTGGAGACCTGAAAAAATTTGCATTTCCTACTAAGGACTGCAGGAGAAGGAGAGAGGAGGAGGAAGGAGGTGAGGGGAGGGTGCAGCCAGGGGGCTTGATCGAGTAGGGGGCTAACAGAGCAAGGGCCGGGGTGTGGGAATAAAAAATCTGCTTCCTCTACACCTGCAGGTGGGCAGTACTTCCCAAGGGTTCCCAACATTTTGTCAAAAATATTTTATAATCTTCATAGTAGCAGTTGTACTTTTATTCATTTAGCCTACAAGGCAATGCTTGAAATGTATACGGATTCATACTGAGCACTGGCGGCTGCAGAAACCGCGTGGGCGAAGCTTTACAGGACGAAGCTGCCCCAGATACTCAAGTCTTCAGGTCCCCCCAGGTTCAGCATGAGCAAAGCCCGAGCCAGCCACGCAGGGCCCTGATCCTCCTCCAGTTCCCGTCTACACAGTGAAGTCAGGAATCTGACTCTGCCAACCCAGCGGGTACCACCTGTTTTGTCCCCAAGTGCTGCACGTATCTGGCCGCGGATGGCAAGGTCTGGAGAGCCAAGGCCGAGAGCAGCCGCACGCCTCCACGCTGCCCTTGTGGAAGTGTCCATCTGCCCGTGCGCTGAAAACAACCACTTGGCTTCAAGCACGGGCACTGCCAGAGCCTCCCCAAAGTAAAGGACCAGCCAGTGAGGCCGGAGGCCCTGGCTGAGGAAAGCGGGGCTGGCTCGGAGACCCTGCTGCCGCGCCTACCTTGTAGAGCGCAGACATGGACGCGGAGCCCACCACCAGCGCGATGCCGATGACCGAGTGGCTGTGGAAGCCGTCGGCGTAGGTCATCATCACGATGCCAGCGATGGCTAGGATGGCGGCCACGATCTGGAGAGACGGAAGAGAAAAGCGGTCAGGGGAGTGGCGGGGAGTCAGGTGGACCACCCATGTGCCAACGAGCTGGAAACACGAGTGGGGTTCAGCCGTGTGAGGGGAGAGTGGAGTCTCCTTTTCAGTCTTCCTTGGGAGAGAAATAGGCAAAGGCTGGCCCCTGTCTACATTTTATGTTGCTGTTTAAAAGGGCACCTAGCAAAGCTTGGCGTGACCAAAGAACCGGAAACAGTTCCCGGCAAGGAGTAGCTTAGCATCAGGCGGTGTGGCCAGTCCTGGGATTCTTGGGAACATGAGGAGGAGGTGGTTATGAAAACTCCACTGACAGGTTATTTGGTCATGACAGGACCTGGTAGACAATCCCTGGGCAGCACCTGGAAATGGCCTGAGTTCTTTCCCCACCTTCTGAAAGTAGCTCATGTGACCTTGGCTTTATGTATTTCATATCTCAACAGGGAAGGCAGCATGAGGACAGCAGATCTTGTCCCCATTTTCCATGCCAGCTGCCGGGCCTGCCATAAGATCACCTGCCAATCAGGGCTACCAACAATGTCCTAACCCCGGAGGTGCAGTTCCTGCCCTTAGCAGCTACTGGGCTCCTCCACTCCAGCCCCAGAAACTGTCCTCAATACTCTCATTGTCCAGATACCGACTTCTCAGTTGGGATGGACAGCTTCATGGATAGCACGCATTACTGTTTTACAAAGTACAATTGCCAGAGTAAATAGGAGATAAACTTCCTGGGACAATATTTCCCCAAGGAGCAGAATGCACCAGCACAGAGAATAAACACAAGGACCTATCTGAAATAGCCATGGAGCTGCACAAATGTCACTGGGTGGGAGGTGGGGAGGGGGTGTTGTCAGCAGAACAAATGCATGCGGCAGAAGTTTCGGCTGCTGGATTTATTAAGGGTTTCATCCCTCTTACGGATCACTCAAAATTGGCTTCAGCAGTCTACAGCAATACCAAATAACTAAGATTTACTGACTGGTCGTAGGATAAGTGTTTTCTGTTATACTTCTCATTTTAGCCTCCAAATAGGTAGATATTGTCATTCTCCCTCATTTTATAGACATGAAAACCTAGGCTCAGAGAGGTTACATAACTTACTCTAAGTCACACAGCTGTTGTGTGAAAGAGCAGAGACACACATTGCAGGTGTGTCTGATTGCAAAGTCAGTGCTCATGTATATAAACAGGAAAGTATGTTTCACATAGTAAGCTATTGCCAGCTATGTACTCTTAGAGTGGTCTACATATAACATTTTTGGATTAGTGAAAGGTAATGTGGTTGACTCTCACACAGTATGTCCGAGTTATATACTTCTCCTAGTGTATACCTCATGCACTATTTCCACATAATGCCCTTAACACAGAGGCCCTGGAGGGGACAGATGGTTATGATGTCCTAGAGCAGTGCCCGGCCCAATCTGTCTACTTGTTCTCTCTGGTTTAGCGATTCATTTGTAGTGCATTGTTCTGCATCACGCATATGCAAATATGCATATATTTCATATGCAAATGCTACATATACTGTGTACCACTGTTCATTAAGAGAAAGAAACAGAGATAGCAAGACAGTAAGTGAATTCCCCCTGCCCCCTCCACCCAGCAAGAGAATAAGAAAAGGAAAAGTAAAAAAGCAGACAGGGAAAGCAGGCGGTTTCTGCTCTGGAACATACGGCGTGCAAGGATGCTGAAGGAACGTTTCAGCCTGGCTAGGCATCGGAGGGACTGGTGAGAAAAAGAAAGAGAAACAGAGGAAAGAAGGGAGGGAAGAAGACAGCAAAATCTCAGATGATTTGGTGCATCTCCAAAGGGACTTGAGTCTTTCCAAACTTATGGCTGGGCTGAAGTTTGAGGAAATGAAGGAGAACAAGGGGTTATTTTTTTCTGAAGACTTGATGGGCAGATTTCCAACCTCTTCCTCTCTCTTCTCTATTGATTAAATAATAAACGGCTAAAAGCTTCTGCCCGAGCTGTGCAGAAGAGCATGGGGAGGAGGCAGGGGGTAGGAAACGAGAGCGCAGCTGGCCAACGACCGTTCGGTCAGCCGAGGAGACAAATATCAGAGGAGCCCATGCCGCCCCTTCGGTTCGTCCTGGCAGGCAGGGCTGGGGGCGGTGATACCCCCACCTACCTCCCCATCTTCTCCTGGGGGCCCCAGGCCACAAGTCACAGGGTTGACACACCTGGCTGTGGGTCCCCCAATCTCTAGGCAGCAGCAGCCCTGCTGGGACCTGACCCAAGTGGTGAGACGTAAGCTGGTGGCTGCCACCCCACTCGCAATTCCCAGAGCACAGCAGATTCAAAACATGCCCTGCAGCTTTGGGGCACAGAGCCCAAGGATCCTTCTTCCTCACCCTATAATTCCTTTGAAGATTCCAGTTTTATCTTTTAAAAATAAGTGTATATTTTACATTTTACGTCCTAACATACCTGAGTTTCCTGGTTTTCACATGAAAGCATTTCCTTGCCTAATCCTGCACTCAAATGAACTCTCTAGGAAGGCCGGTCAAGTTCATCCTGTGGTTTCACAAGCTCCACACACACCTCCTCCCTCTGGGCGTCCCCGGGGAAGGCCCTGAGCCAGAACACGCAATGAGGACAGGGACTTACCCCACTTCCCCAGGCCTCTGTTTTCTCCCACCTTCCTGTCTCCCAACCCCGAATGCTCCCCACTGAACTATCCTAAAACAAGGACCAAGACCGGTGACAGCCACCATCTCTACTTGGTCTGGGGAACAATTAGCCGGAGACAAGGAAGGAACACAGGCCTGGATGTTGCTGTGTAGCATCTGCATGTCCTCACCTGGTGTGGTGGTTCACTGTCATCCCCACTGGGCTCCCAGGGCTCTGGATGCAGAGTCCCAGTCACCCAGGCATTAGTCACTGACCCGCCACGCACCGCCGTGACTGCACTGCTTCTACACTGAAAGGGAAGGCGAGGGAACCCTTGAGCCTTACAGAAGAGACGAGGAGGGTTAATGATGTCTAATCACCTTTCAGACTGGGTTCCTTGTTCTTTTATAGTCTTGCAAAAATTGTGGTGGGCTGCACATTCTCTGCCATACAGAACCCCGTTTGGATGCTTTTTAGTTCTGTACGGTTTGGAGCAGTTTTACAGAAGGAAAAGAAAGACTGATTATTTATTTATTTTTTTGTGTATAGAGATGAGGTTTCACTATTGCCCAGGCTGGTCTCCAACTCCTAGCCTCATGTGATCCTCCCGTCTGGGCTTCCCAAAGTGCTGGGATTACAGGTGTGGGCCACTGCACCCGGCCTGAGTAGACTCTTTCCCTCCCAGCTTCTGGACTGCTCTCCTCAACTCGAGGAATATGAAAGTTTGGAAAGAACCAAGGATCCTCTTGTGCACCCTCCTATTTCCGAGAGTGGAGACAGGCCTGGGCTGTGAGCACCACTAGCCCCCTCTCTGTGTCCTCCCCAGTGCTGGGCTCAGGCTGCAGGGGACAGCCCCCCACACAGAAGGGAGTCGGGTCCCCATGCTGGAGTTACCCTTCAGGGATGGCCCCTTTTGAATCACTGAAAACATTCTGATTGTTGGAAACATCAGCTAGAATCTGAGACAGGAAAAGATCTCGGAGAAAGCTCACAGTCCCTGGGATTGTGCTGCCAGGGTTTGAGGACTCATGTGGGTGACCTCCTAGCTCACCTTCTTCTCCTTCTTCCCTCCCTCCTGGAGTGGAAGCCCTCACTGCGAGGATGGGGGGTTATGAACAATCAGAGAATCCCACCGTCCATTTCCCCTGACACGGAGCCTGGGGGTGGTCTTATGCCTGCTGACCACAGCCAGGTTGGCCTCTACTCATTCTCATCCAACTGCTGCTTTTGGCACACAAAACTGCCTCCCTAAGTGGTCATCTGCTTCTGACACCACCAACAGAAGAATTGGGTTGATCACCAACCCCTTCCAAATGAGAAGGAATAGTAAGAATAACAACATTGAGGAAAGATGACATTTATTGAGTTTTATGTGCCAGGCATGCATCATCTTATTTTATTCTTCATCCAATAAGATGAGTAGTAATATTCTGTCCATTTTAAAGATGAGACAAACAAGGCTCAGAGACATTTAGTAATTTGTTCAAGATCCAACAGCTTGTAAGAGTAGAGCCAAGATCTGCAGCCTAGTCACTTGTCTCTAGCGTGGAGCGCCTGGCCGCTGCACTAGAACCCCTGACATGGAGAGCCCGGACACATATGAAAAGCACACCCAAGAGAGTCAAACGGTGACACAAGGCCAGCTTGGGCTCCTTTCAAACAGACACCCCTACAGCTTCTCACCCTCTGACGCCACAAGTGGCCGGGATCTCCCCAGCATCGTAAGACACATTCGCTTCTATCTGAATCTGTCCGCATGACCTGAACCTGTTGATGTCTTCCAGGAACCGCAGCCCTTGTGGCTTGAGTAATTGCCTTAATAACACAAATCTCCCGTGCGATCTGTTTCAAGAACATTAGGCTGAGCCTTCATCATGGTTTTCACGTCTGCACGACTCTCCAGCTCATATGCTCAGTCCTCCACAATTTTTGGAAAGGCCCCGGTGGAAGGTGCTAGCTAACCCAGCGTTGCGAGTGAAGTCTGGAGCGATCCCACGCACCAGTTAGATGTTAACTTGGACCTAAATCTCCATCTGTTTATCAAGGGGAAACTTTAAGTCACTCTGGCAAGCTGCTGGTGTCTCGTGGATTTTGCTAGCTCTCTTGAAGAAAAGAAGAAGGGAATCCACCACAACTTGCAGTGAGAAGCTCTTAGATGATCTGCCACTTATGTCCAAGAGGAGTAATGATTATGAGAGAGACCCGCACCTACAGTGTCTTGCTAGTTACACTATTCCATCACCAACACGGGCGTCATTTCAGAGCCAGCCTTGTGCCAACACAAACTTTGCTCAGTACACAGCGGTCAGCATAGACCAGACCAATCAAGTGGCCAGCACGGCCAGACTGCATCATAGTCCAGGGATGTTGTGTTGGGGGGACCCTCTTATCCATGCATGGTGACAAAGACGAGATCTAGAAGCACCAGATTACTCTCTATGAGTCTAAGAGTATTTCAAGTTTTTTTCCCCACACCTCTTAACCTCAAAAAACTTGTTTTCTTCTGCTGGAAGCAGAATTAACCTCGACGCTTCTCTTTCCAGTAACAGGGGCTCATTTGGAATTTGCTTAGGACATCAAATCATGCCAGAAAGTTCCATGAATTCTCTTGGCTCTTTGCATCAAAATAAAGTCAGGAAGGCCATGAGTCAGGGGCAGTGGGGCCCAGGACATTCAGGTCTTCAGCGTCGGGTCAGGCAGGCTGTCGGGTGGACTACTGCTGGAAGTTCCTGCATTTCTTGCAGATGTGTATTAGATTGTTTATTTGCTGAAAGCTTCCCTGGGTGGTAGCACAGGGAGTGAGTTTTTATTCCAAAATTAAGACTAAGTCTCAAAACAAACTTTCCCCCTACTGCAAGCTAAAAATACAACTCAGCAGTTGACTCATGTCCCCACCGCTGTTTGGGTAACTTAGGTGGGCGTGAAGCTACCATTAAGGGTGATGTCATTGTTCCCAGGACAATTAGAGAAGGACGGAGGTAGAGGGCCAGGAGTCTGCCCTGCTCTAGTTGCCAGGGTGGTTCGCTCTAACGGGACTGCCCATACACAGGCTCTTAGCTTTGTAGGAGGAGGAGTCACGAGGCACTCTAGCTACAAAAGCACTAGCTGCCTGGCCCAATGCTCTTTTTGTACTGGTTTGTGGCAAGGTGAGGATGGGGCAGTAGCAGCTCGTGGCCACCAGAGGGAGCCAGGCAGAAGTCACCAAGATTCTGTCCATGCTATAATAAATGCCACCTGTTCCTTTTGTGCAAGGCGGGACCCTTCCATATTTCAGCTGGTGTTTAATAGTGCACTTATACTATTTCATACAACTGTTATGAAATGTGACTAGCTAAATTTGACTATCTTTCAATGTAATTGACTAAGTCTCCTTTGTAAATGAGAGGTAATTGAAGGGATATGATTTCACTCCCCCTTTGTCTGTGGTAGGAAGGAAGTGAAACTGGCCCTCCACTGCTTGGACTTTTCCTGAGTGTATCTGGCTCACTTTGGCTGTGCACACACGGTCCAGGCAACAGTCCAAGACCGCATGCATGCATGGATGCTGAAGGATCCTTCGAGTTTCACACACCCCCTAATCAGAGAGGGACAGTGTCAGCAGAAAGCTCCAGGCTGCAGGGCACAGTCCCGCCACGCACTGCAGCCTGGAAAGCCGCCCACGAGAGAGGGGTGAGCACACAGAGAGCCGAGCACATCGCCATCCCAGGGCTGGGTCCCCGACTGGCACACACTTTAGGGAATGCTTGTTGAAATGCTTGAAATGAAAGGTGCTTTAATGAATGCTTGTCTAGTATGGTTTGCAAGCAAGAAGGTTTGAAAGGCACACCAAGAACCGGGCCTCTGCCGGGCTCCTTTTCTGCTGCGGATCGGAAGGGAAGTGGTCAGCAGCTTATGCTCATGGTCCAGCACACGGAGCTAAGCAAGCCAATGGGCAGGTTTTGGTTGACATGACTGAGTGAGGGAGGAAGACAGATAATAAGGAACTTACCCTCACTCCCATGAACCTGTCCCTGAGAACGATCCATGAGAGCAAGAACACAAAAGCTTTGTTGCAGCAGAACAACACGGAGACATCCGTAGTGTTTATTTTCTTTATTGCATGTAAGTACAGGTAGTTTGTGAGTGTCCAAAGAACACCAAAGGGTGCTGCCTTGGTAAAAAACACCTTCAAAGTCAAGCCATTGTCTCCAAAAAATCGACAGCATTCCCTAAAACAAGGAAAGAGAGGCAGTGTTATTATATTCTTGGGTTTAGACAGACCATATTTTTCCTATACCCAGTTTTATTTTTTTAAGCAAACATAGGAAGGGGGCAGGGTCTTTTTTATTTATTATTTTTGATATCCTTCTGTTAAAGCTCTTCAACCTATTGCTTTAGTCCAGTGAAGAAATGTTGCACGGTGATCTGACATCATAGATATTCCTTCTGTTCACGTTAAGTTTGGAATTGACGGTTCTACACCGAAGGTAATGTCGGGATCACCTGACCTGAAGGCCCAATGCTAGGGTGGTTGGCTGAGGCATCCTGTCACTCGCTGAGTAAGAGAAGGAAGTCACTAGGCCTTTTTGTGAGGGGAAGAAAGTGGTGATGGAGAAGGATGGATACTTGAAGAGACACTTATTTTTTTAAAATTTTGCCCCAAATTGGAATTGTATTTGTGATCAGGCAGGGGCCGTCACTTCTTGGGCATATCTAACACATTTCGGCTATGAGACAAATAGTGTTAACTCTCTACGTATTTTCTCCCTGAGGCCATTTTTACAGCACATGATTCCACCATGTGGAAGGTCAGGTTTCCACTTCTCTAAATGCCTATCTAGCACAGGAGGAATAAGGAGATTCAGGAGTTCAGAGTCCTAAGAGGGAGTGAGATGAGGAAACACCTGTAGAAGAAAGTCTTTCAATGCCATTGTTGATTCTAGGGGAAGGATGGATCTTCCACATGCAGAAGAAGGAAGGAGAGCAGGCCGTGGGGTCAGAGGCCAGGAGAAGGCCGGCTGCGGAGGGCTGGGCCTACAGAGGGCCGGCTGTTTCCTTGACTGTCAGGGAATGAAGATCATCATTCTGTTGGGCTTGGGGAGCCGGGAAAGGAGATGGACTGGCGCGGACGCACTGCTCCTGGAGGCGTCCCTACCCAGGCTCACGGCCACGGTGCAGCCTGGCCACCATGGGTGATGCAAGCCAGCCAGCGTGTCAGTGACTCAGAAGTAGACTCAGCTCAGGACTGACTGAACCACCATGAGAGCAAAAGAAAAGACATCTCTAGAACAAACCCAACACACCGGGTGGGTGGGAATAGCTCCAGCCTGTGCCACTTCACATTAAAACACAGAGATAAAGGAGGAAAATTAAAAACAAGACTCAAAGGGAGCTGGATAAGATTTTTAATTTAACTTTATTATCTGTTCTTACTATCAATCTAAAATGAAATTTGCCTTTGTTCATTACTCAACTATGGGATATCCATAGAAGAAAGAGAAAACTCATTAGGGAAAGGCATGAGAGCCTGGGAGATTGGCAGAGGAGAAACACACTTACCGTTTTGTAGAGTATGGGGACAGTTTTGCCACTTTTCCTTGTGCTTAGTGTCCTATGTGACTTCTACACAAACCAGCACCGGGTAAAACATTCAAATCGCTAAATTTGCCATGAAACCAATTCAGCTGAATTGATCCCATTTTTGGCTTTATACAGATGCAACTCTAAGATCTAATGGATAGGTTGATGTTTCTGTTTGCCTTGTAATTTTCATGCAGCATTTCAGCTGCATGGTCTTTGGGGTTTTCTCAAGCCCCTGTTTGCAAAACAGTCTTTGTTCTCCCAGGGACAGTGATCATGAAGGATGGCTTCCTTCGTATTTGTGATTATGGTGGCTATAAAGTGATGCTGGTCCCTCGAGTGTGACCAAAAGGATAAAAAAAAAAATTCATGCTGTGGAAGGGGACATCTAAAGCTAACTGGACAGCTTCGTTCCTCTTTGACAATCTGCATCTGACTCCTTCAAAGCCTGATGGTTGCAGCAGGGGTAGGGCACAGAGAGGGCTTGATACTGATGCCCAGGTTGCTGAAAATGGGGAGGGGAGTGGGGATCCCATTCCGGAGATGGAAAAGGGTGGACTTCAGGGCCTGGCAGAGCTCTGTTGGCCGTTTGAGGACTCATGGCCAGGGCATCACAGCTTAGGGTGGTGGACCTTGGTTTTAATGAGACCAAGATGACTGGCTCCCGGGCCAGTGAGCCTTGTGCTGTTTTACGACAAAAGGCTGTGCCCTAAGCTATGTCGGCTGGCTTGCCTAGGTATGCCCTTGATTGCAAGTGAACCCAAGAGAGATGATGAACACAAATCCATTTCTGCCAGAGACCTCTTCTTGGAATACAAATGGAGTGGAGTAGACGCTCTCTTCACTGACTTCCACTTAACTGACTGGACATCTAATGTCCTTCATTCCTCATGTTCACTGATGCCCTTGGCAGGCTGAAGGCCCAAGGCTGGCAGTCACCGTCCGGCACACCCAAGCCCTTTGGTTCCTACCAGTGGAGGCATATGCCAGCCAAGATTTAGACGTGTTTGTTTCCAGTCCTGCTTGTGCCAATTGTTCTTGGTAATGTCAATTAAATATTTCATAAACCAATGAAATATGAACGAGAAAAGAAAGTCTGTTTTTTCTAAGAAATCTAAGTTGTGAGCTTCAAGGAAGACTCAATAAAAACAAGCACTGAAATAACACTATTGAATTATGCATGTAAAGAAGCATGGCAATAGATAGGAAAATTGTACAAATCTGTAAGTTCTGTACTTATATTACGTGACAAATACTTATGTTCTTGGTACTCTTTAAAGAATCCTAACTGGGATAGCCTGTCTTGGTGGGATTAGGATGTGTTTCCATTTAATTCAAAGCAACAAACACTTGTTTAGCACTTGTTATATCACAATTCTAGACAAGGAATTATGGCTGATACAGAAAAAGTAGTTTCTAAACTAAGTAAGCTTTTTTAAAACTAGAAAACTGCCTTGAATTATTTCTTTTGTAATTTTTTCCACCTCATTTTCTTCTGTTTTCTCTTTCTGGAGCTGCTTTTAGTTCAATATTGGACCTTCTGATTTGATCTTCTGGTTTTATCTTTTCTTTTTTCCTTCACTCTCTTTTTCTCTTTTATTTTATGGGAGATTATCTGGACTTTATATTCCAATTCTTCTATTAAATTTTAAAAATTAGTAGCTTACATTTCATTTCCAAGAGCAGTCCCTGCTCTTAAGAAGATTATGATCCAATGGGAGAGATAAGACTTATTCCTCGATAGGAATCAGTGCAAGCTTAAATAGAATCACATATTAGATGGCATGGAATATAATAATGCTAGGGCATTACTGTCTAGTGGAGAGAGTTGGGCTGATTGCATAGGCCTTATAAAAGTTGCAGATTTTGAGAGGAAACTTGAAGGATAGGTAGGATTTATACAGGGGGGTGTGTGTGGGCAGGGGAAGATAATATTCTCGTAGAGATTAGAGAAGAAATTGTATCTATGAAACAAAAACTAATGACTGGAAAAAAGGAAATAATTTTGGAAATTAAATATGGGATATAACCAAATTTTAAAAAAATAATAGAAGAATTGGAATATAAAGTCAAAATAATCTCTCATAAAAGAGAGAGAAGATAAAATCAGAAGATCAAACCAGAAAGTCCACTATTGAATTAAAAGAAGGTCCTCCAGAAAGAGGAAAGAGAAATAAATGAAGTGGAGGAAATTACAAAAATAAATAATTCAAGAAAGTTGCTTAGACCTGAAAGACGTGAGTCTTCACAATGCAAGAGCCCACCAAGTACCAAGGAAAACGAATGAAGAAAGAACCACAACAAGGCACATCCTTGTGAAACAAAGGGATACAGATCAGACTGGAAGTGCCCAATAGAAATAAAAGAAAATAGATCGAGGGATAGATAGGAAATCGTACTCTCACCAGACGACCCAACAACAAAAATAGAAGCCAGACAATCACAGAACAATGCCTTAACATTTTTGAGGGAATTTTTTTTTTTTTCCCAGCCAGAATTCTATCACCAGCCAACTGTCAATCAAATGTGAGGGTGGAATAAGACATTTCAGTTAGGCAGTGCTCGACAACATTGGCTCTCAAGCCACGGGAGGAGAGTTGCACCAAAACCAGAGTATACACCAAGGAGGAGGAAGGCCTGGCAGCAGGACACAGGTAAGCTCCAACCCAGGCAAGAGAGAAAGCGAGTCCCAGCACCAGAAGACCAGGGACCACAGAAGGCTCTGGGAGGGGAGTCTCCAGGGAAGAAGTCTTGTGATTAAGCAAGAATAGGTTTTTGAGATGGTGGAACATTTAGAAAACAACCATTACGTGGAAATCAAGGTGAATGAGGCAAATATTGCCGGCAGGAGAAATGACAGGTTGTTCACAAAAGGAGGCAGAGTCGGTGAACAACATATGCGTGCTTATAACAATGTGAACGCTATTAACCAAAAATTGCGATGTCATTATGTTGGAGGGAACAGAATCAGGGAAAAAGGTGGTGGGGTAAGACAGAAACCAGAGGTTGTCTATTTAAGAAACACTGAGATAAAAATTTAATTTGGCTAACTTGGCATAAATACCAGGGGAAAGTATCTACAAGAGTTGAGGGTGGCTGAGAGTAGCCAGGTGGGGAGCAGGAAGGAGTTGCTGCTTTTTACCATGATTGTATTACTACTATTTCATTTTTCCAAAGTACGTACGTGCATTCGATTGCTACGAATAAAAGTTAATTAAAAACACAGAAGAAAGAGGTCAAGTTGCCATGGTTGAAGCTGAAATTTGGGAGCTCTGAGGAAGCTTTGAGAAATGCGATTTGAAAATCATATATAGAGAGAAGCCCTACAATTCATAGGGAAGGACGCTGCAGCCCAGACAGATTAAAAGGCTTGTGTAAATTCAAAAAGATGTCAGCAGTACAGCCAGACCTGCAACCTGGGTTCATTCCTCAATAAATACTCTTCATGATCCCCTCTTTCTTCTGAATCCTTTGCACCACCATTTAAATGTGCCTAAGCCTCTCCAGTCTTAACATACTCCCCACGAAAAGCCAGCCTCTCAACCTGCCCCTTTCCTCTCTTCCTCTTTCTTGTAGCCAAACTTTTCAGAATAGGAATCTACACTCAGGTTCTCCATGGCCTTGACTCTCTCACTCTCCAGCTACTCAG